GCCAAGTTGCCCAGGTGGATCTCGAACCTGCAGGCTCAGGCAATCCACTCACCTCGGCCTCCCAAAGTGCTGGAATTACAGGCTGAGCCACTGAGCCCGGCCAGTTTCAACCTTTTGAGCTCAGGTAATCCTTCTACCTCAGTCTTCTAAGTAGCTGGGACTACAGGTATGTGCCACCATGCCTGGTTAACTTTTTGATTTTATGTAGAGATGAGGTTTATGTTGCCCAGGAGCAGTGACTTGTCCAAGATCACACAGCAAACACATGGCAGTGCAGGCCCATGGCCTATCCTGACACAGGAGCCTCCCATTCCCCCGGGAAGTCAGGCAGATCAAGGCTCTGCCTTTGATTGCGAATCCTGGCTCTGCCCTTCCTGGCCAAGTTGTTATCTTTCTGGTACATCTTCCCCTTGTCCTTATTGGAATGAGGCAGTGCAACAGAAGCACTGGTCCCCGAGAGCCTCCAAGTCCTCCCTCCCCTGCCCTCCCCCTGGGGCCCGGACCCACCTTGACCTGGGCATAGAAGCTGCCCAGGCTGCAGCAGACACGGCATTCCAGCATAGCATCGTCGTTGTTGTGGGCATAGCGCAGGGCCTTCTCGAAGCTCTCCAGGGCCTTCTGGAAGACGCTGAGGCCCAGGAAGGCATTGCCCATGCTCAAGCTGACCTGGCCTCCAAGCTGGGCCCCTGCCCTGGTGCCGGGAAGGCCAAGGCAGGTCTTGCAGTAGGATATGGTCTTGTGAAACTCACACAGCTTCTCATTGCTGCGCGCCAGGTTAAGGTAGCTCTCCAGAAGGAAGTTGGCGTCTTCCAGCTCCCGGGCCGTATCAATCTGGACCACAGAAAACTGCCCACCATGGCGGCGGGCAGGGGCTCTCAGTCTTGGACCCCGGCTTCCCTCCGTAGAGCTCGGACCTGGAGGCTCCACATCCACCCCCAGCCTCGCATGCAAAGCGGCAGACTCCAAAGTCTCAGAGGCACAGCATCCATCTCCGGTTTCAGATGTCTTCTCCACATCCCAGCTGTGGCCTGGAAGTTTCAGCCTCGGAGTCTTCACCTCCCAACTCAGTCTCACTGCCTTCACCCTTCCACCCCAAGCCTCACATCTGGAGTCTCTACAACCCACCCGCCTCCAGCCTCAAACCTGGAGCCCACACTCCCCTGGCTCAGACACAGAACCCCGAACAGGGAGGCTAAAACCTAGACTCCAAGAGTTGGGCTTGAGACCCAGAACCTCGGTCTCAGAGGTTCAGATGCTGAAGTCCAAAGCCATAGGCCTGAATCCGAAGCCAAGACCTGGGGCCTCAGATGCAGATTCAGAGCCTCAGGCCCCAGCCACCAGCCCGTGGGACGCCTGGGAGGCTGAGAGGGACCCCTGCACACCACCCCGGCCGGGTACGCCTACCTTCAACATCTCCTTGTAGCGGCCCATCTCCGAGTGGGCCGTGACCAGGCAGCCCAGCACACGGAAGCGCCCCACAAGATCCGAACTCTTCTCCAGCACCTTCGTCCACACCTGCAGGGCCTTCTCCGTCTGGTTAGACTGGTATAGTTGGAGTCCCTTCTCGATCTGCTGCTTTGTCTGGTCCTGCCCCATCCTCCCAGAGCCCCGCGCCCCACGCGGGGTGACCCTGGTGGCTTGTGCTCTAGGCACTCATGGCGTGGGACCCACTTTCCTGCTTCTCACTGAGCCCAGGAAGGGAGGCAGCGTTGCGTGGAAGCCGGAGTGGGGCCTGGATGGAAAGCGGGCACCACCCTGGGAACAAAGCTGGTGCGGCGGCCCCTGTCTGCAGCTGTCCCTGCCAGTTGGGGCCACGTGGCCTGCGGAATGTCTGCGACAAGGTCATGAGTGCCACTGCCACGCCCACCCCCACGCTGGGAGGTGGCTTCTCCGGGGAGACAAGCATTCTGCCACCTGGGACCCCTTGGGTGGCCCTTGGGTTCTTCTGACGCCGGCCCTGACTGTCCTGGCAGCGAGGGCTCTCCCCGCAGCCTCCGAGGAGCTGCCTCCAGCGGGTGCACAGGCCGCGGGCCAGGAGGGGTGACAGTTGGAAGCAGGGACAAGGATGGACGCACAGCCATCAGGAAGGCTGGGACAAGCGCCCAGCCTAGCTTCTCTCCCATCAGAACTCCCCCACCCTGTTGCTTAAGCCACCCCTTCTGTGAATTTGTTCATTCCGTATGGATTTTTGTGGCTGTCTTCTTTCACTTTTTGAAATGTTTTCAAGGTCCTTCCTCATCTTCACATGTATCAGGACTTCATTCATTTTGATGGCTGGTTCATAATCATTGGATGGATCTATCACCCTTTGTTTCTTCATTATCAGTTAATGGGCATTTGGGCTGTTTCCTTTTTTTTGAGTTGAGGTGTCACTGTCTCCCAGGCTGCAGTGCAGTGGCATGATTATGGCTCACCTGGCTCACCACAGCCTCGACCTCCTGGGCTCAGGGGATCCTCCCGCCTCTGCTTCCCAAGTAGCTAGGACTACAGGTGTGCACCACCCCGGTGATTTTTTGTAGAGACGAGGTCTGGCTATGTTGCCCAGGCTGGTCTTGAACTCCTGGGTTTAAGCAGTCCTCCCACCTTGGTCTCCTAGAGTGCTGGGATTACAGGTGTAAGCTACTGAACCCAGCTGGGCTGTTCCACTTTTGAGCTACTATGAATAATGATGCTACAAAAATTCATGAACAAGTTTTAGTGTGGACAAGCTTTCATTTCCCTTGGGTATATACTTAGGAGTGGAATTTCTGGGTAATATGGAACTCTAAGTTCAACTTTAAGAGAAACTATCCACCTGCCTGCCCCAGGGCCTTTTCACTTCTTGATTCTGTCCCTTCCCCTCACCCCAACACAATGCCTAGTTAAGTCTTACTTAGAGTGAATCGGGATACTATTCTCATAGAAATAGATTTCAGCCGGGCTCGGTGGCTCAGCCTGTCATCCCGTGCCTTTGGGAGGCTGAGGTGAGTGGATTGCCTGAGCCCGCGGGTTCGAGACCCGCCTGGGCAGCAAGACCTCATCTCTACAATAAGTCAAAAAAAATCAGCCGGGCATGGTAGCACATGCCTGTAATTTCGGCTACTCGGAAGGCTGAGGCGGAAGGATCGCCGGAACCCAGCGGGTCGAGGCTGCGGTGGCCGGGAGCGGCCACTGCACTCCAGTCTGGGCGACAGAGTGAGACTCCAACTCAAAAAAAGAAATAGATTTCGTTCCATTACATATTCATGAGTGAGGCTGTTTGCTTAATGTCCCCCCCCCCAAACAAGGTCACATGGGCAGGCCCTCATCTAGGACAGGGACTTCGTCTCATTCACCACTGACTGTATCCCCAGAGCAAGACCCAGCACACAGCGGCATCTCAATAAATATGTCAAATGAGCGAATGGGGGAAAGGAGAAGACAGTTTCACTTGGAAATTCAGGACAATGGCTGCAGCCTCCCAGGGAAACCGGCACAGGCAGACATGGCCTGTTTCCTGCAAGTAGAATGGGTCCGAGGAAGGGCAATCTGGGAGTTGGAAGGCAAGGAGTCACGAGCCAGGGCCCATGCCATGGGCTCAGCAGAGGTAGAGGGGACATCGGAGCAGGCCCTGGACAGATGTTTGGGCAAGACCATTGAGACGCCCCTAAGTGCCCTTAGGCCTGGGAAGGGAGGAAAAGCTGGCTGGAGTCTCGCTCTCATCCATGTTTCCTGGGTTGGGAAGGAAGCTGGGCCTGCAGATTCTCCCCCCCTCCAGAGTCTGGACACCATTCGCATCCAGGCAATCACCCACCGGATATGGGACCACAGCCTTCTGGTGATCTGGGGAACCCAGACAACCTCAAAACATGACAACTGCCAGGATAAAGGTTTCCTCTCCCCCAGTGACAGGAATATGTCCATACCTGCTTGTTCTAGGTAGCAGTCTTTTGTGTTGCCTTTAAAAATTTCATTTCTGGCTGGGCTGGGTGGCTCAGCCTGTAATCCCAGCACTTTGGGAGGCCGAGGCGAGTGGATTGTCTGAGCCCGCGGGTTCGAGACCATTCCGGGCAACTTGGTGAGACCTCATCTCTACAATTAATCAAAAAATTAGCTGGGCGTGGTAGCACATGCCTGTAGTTCCAGCTACTTGGAAGGCTGAGGAGGAGGGACTGCCGGAGCCCAGCAGGTCGAGGCTGTGGTGGCCGGGAGCGGTCACTGCACTCCAGTCTGGGCGACAGAGTGAGACTCCAACTCAAAAAAAAAAAAATTTCATTTCTGAGCACATGATCCAGAATTCTGTCATTCATGCTCACCTTCAGCCAGAGCCGTGGTTTATTTGTCTTCAAACCACTAGGAATTAACTGCGCAGCCCCAAGCAAAGTGAGAGGAAACCAACAGGAGAATTATAACTAACATTTTCTGAGTTAAGCATTTCTTGCTGTTTACAGGAAACTGAAGCATGAAGAGGTTAAAGTGCCCAAGACCATACTGCTATCCACAGTAAGCTGGGATTAGAAGTGGGACTTTAGGGATCCCATTCTTAACTTTTTTGTTTTTTGGAGACAGGGTCTTACTCTGTCACCCAGGCTGGAGTGCAGTGGCACCGTCATGGCTCACTGCAGCCTCCACCTCGTGGGCTCAGGCGATCCTTCCATCTCCTGAGTAGCTGGGACTACAGGCATGTACCACCATACTTAGCTGATTTTTGCATTTTTTATAGAGATGAGGTCACACTATGTAGGCCGGGCTGGTATAAAATTCCTGAGTTCACGCAATTCTCTCGCCTCAGCCTCTCAGAGTGCTGGGATTACAGGTGTGAGCCACCACGCCTGACCCTGTTCTTAACCATTATACTGTCCCAGACAGGAGGAGAGGAAGAGGGAAATGAAGAAAAGTGGATAATTGGACACCAGTTTTTAGGAATTCATAGTGATGTTTACCAGATGTATGGCAAAATCAATGGGAATATTATCCAAAGCTATAGCCTGGATGGGCAGAAGAAACGTATTAAGGAGAGGGTAAACAGAGTCAAAACTTGGTCAGTGATAACCAGTAGACAAAAAGCCCCTGGAAGTTGGGAGGAACAGCCACAAAATGAGATGATCTTTCTGAGCTACTTAATTTCACAGGCTGGTGGACAGTTGGGGGCCCTGGCACTCTTAAGCTCTTACCAAGCACATGCTGTCAGGTACCAGCTTCACACTTTACATTTTAGATCCCTGTTTTTTTGGGGGTTTTTTTTGAGTTGGAGTCTCACTCTGTCGCCCAGACTGGAGTGCA